GGCACGATTTTTTAAAAATCTATTATATATTGAAGAATCGTATCTAATTAAGGCTGTGCTATCTATTTCGAGAACCCAAATAGAGAGAGCACTTTTTGCACTGAATACCTCTCTTAATATACATATTTTAACTTTTTTTTAAAAAACAGTCTAAGTGAATTGGTTCACAGGATAAGTAACCCCTCGTTCGATTGGGATTGGTTTTAGCCAGTTTGGCTGTTGTTGTGTTTTGCATGTTGTTGACGTGACCATATTTTCTTGTTGGCGAACTTAGACAAGAAATGAATACTAAGCCTGACTTCGTGAGGTCCACAAGGGCCGCTACGTTGACTTTTTCCACCTCATCGGATGTGTCGTCGTCGCACAACGTGCAATCGTTCGTGGGGTCCTCCTCTACGGCAATTATTGTCCCGAAAACTTTCTGCACGGTCTGTGGAAGCTTTACCGACCGGCTGGTATTGCGTAAATCGGGGCTCAAGTGTCCCCAGTGTGTGGGGCGTCCCTCTAAACGGCAATGGTGCAAACTCCAGAAGCAGCAGGCTCAACAGCTGCTCTCTCAGGTCACGGGATCCACCATGGGTTTGGTGTACCCCTCCGGGGAGGTGTTCAGCTCGCGGAGTGTCGACCGAGACGTGCGGAGCCACCGCAGCGGCCGTCCCCGCGAGAAGAAGCCTTCCGTGAAAGTCCCCATCGTCATACCACTGCCTTTTTCAAGCCAAGACGGCAATCCTACATCCACGGCGGAGCACCTGGACCTAAAGCCGCTTCCCATCAAGGAGTATATTAACGGGACGGAGTGCTTTCAGAAGGCACTTCAGCAACACAGTAATTTGCCAAGCGCGCGGTGTGTGGCGCCGGAACAGCCGGGTGATGCCGACAGCGGGGCTATCCAAACGGACAATGCGAACTCTTCGCCAACACACAATCGAAATTCCATCTCTTTTTCCGCGTTTCCTCTCACGAAGGCGGGGTCTTCTGTGTTCGACTGTACGGCGGCGAGCGTGCCGTTGGAGTTTTGTAGGCAACCGACTGCAGTGCCCAGCAACCAGGTCAGTGGGGGGTCGAGCGGCACGTGCTTTCAGGAAGATAAAACAAGTTTAGATCCCCAACAGGGGACTTGCGAAAGGGCGGCACGGGATTCTTCCATCCTCTGCGCATCCAGTGATCCTGCCGCCGCGGGCGGTATCCACGCGCAGGGCGAGAGTAGCGTCCAGCAACCGCTA